TAATTATTTTTCAGCCAAGGTCCATTCTAATTATTTTGTCTTTCCAAGTTTTATCCAGATATTTAAATTTTTAAAATTTAACTGGTATGTTAAATAGAAATGTATACAAAACAATTTATGCACTGTTTTGAGGAAATATGGATATCTAACAAAGCCTCCATTTTGTACTCAATATTTTGAATATTTCTATTTACATCCTTCACAACAGAATTTGTAAGAAACAATTATAGCATCAAAGATGTATATTCATAATTATTATAAATTATCAAATTATTACTGGGCATATCATGATCTTCCCAGAACTCCCAAACTCTAAAGTAATTGCTAATATAAACCCAACATAAATCAAATACAGCTTATGTGCAGTAAATTATCAATGATGTCAACATCTCTTTAACTTGGATGTTTGTTCAACTCCACAAGGGTTTCAAGAAGAAAAGTGACAAGTGCTTCTGCTAGCAATCTTTGCTGCTCTGCTTTGATCTATAAGGAGAAGACAAGGGCATTCCCAAAACATCATCAAATCAAAGGTTTCAATCAACAGCACCAATCAGAGGATACCAGATGTAGCTGTAACAATGACACAACTATTTACTGCAGGTTTCAGAGGAAAAAGGCAGCTCTTGGATGCTTTTGCATATTGCAAGAATGAGAATTGAGATCTGCTTCTGAGGTATTCAAATTCAGCCTCTTCCACCTCCAGTGTTACAGCTCTTACCTTTTGCACATTCTCTCACACAGGTAACCCACAAGGTGTTACTTGATTCATTGCTGAATCAAAGTGTCTCAGTCTGAAGAACTGCAGCTGTTCAGTGTCTGCACGCTCCAAGAGCATTTCAGCTGCATCTACACTACTCCAATGAACTGAGCACGTGCTTGACTCTTCTTTTCCACAGTTTAATTTGTCTTGGTCTTGTTATCAGTTTAGAAGATCATAAAGCAGTATGCTAGTATGCCTAATAGTACTAGTTTCGTACACCAAACACGGAGAATTACGCTTCTATATTGAACTTGTATTGTGGTTATTGATTATCGGGAACTGCAGCTTTACATGCATCTGATGGTGCAGGAAGTTTCAGTCTTATCACCAATATGAATCATTAGAGGTGGAGTTGAGAAATCCTCTTTGATGTTCTGTATAATTGTTTATTTGATGTACTCTTTATAAGTCTAAATAAGCTTGTTCAGCAAAAATTTCAGGTTTTATCTGGTCTTTTACCTCTTTTATCCCTACTTTATTCCTTGTTGCTCTAACATACTATGTTCCTAATTACTACATTACTGACTATTACTAATTGCTATATTAAGTAACTGGATTTCTCTGCCTTTTTGTAGGTCATTTTTTTCTCCTAATAAAACAAATAAAATGAGTCTCAAGACACTTTGAAGTTTAAATGTGTGTCAGCTAGTTGCCAGTCTCTGTTTTACCTTTATTCCTAAAGAAAGCCATGGTTTTCCACTATTCCAGCTCCTACATAAATCCTTTGTTTGACATTTTATGCTTGTAGTGACTCAGATTTTTTTTAAGTAGCTAATATAGCCTGAGTTGATGGAATTCTCTCTTGATTCTACATTTGACTGCAAACTTCACGCTGTTTGCAAACACTTCTAGGACTCCACATACAAGAAGTATCTTCTCTCATTTTTCTCAGTAGCAGCAAAGCATTTCAACTCTCCTCAGATGATCCACTGGCCAAGTTCTAGTCATGGGGCAAGGAGAGAGGAGAGGCATGATTTCTCACACCCTTCATCCTTTGTTTGTCAGCAAGGTTTCCTGAATCTGAGCAGCAGTGGGAATGGCCAGGGGAAGGTATTCCCACCAAACATAGCACTATCAGGGCTCAGCAAGGCAGAGAGGCTCAGAGAGGTTTGATGAGGTAGTTTGAGAACTGACTTCAAAAGTCAGTTCAACCAAGTGTGAACAATGTGAATCTAGCATGGGGCTCATCAGTTCCCATCCTGGTCCTTTCCTCTTCACAGTGCATCTTGATTAAACACTTTAGAATTGGGAAGCTTAGTTTTTATGCAAAACAATAAACCAGACGTTGAAAGATCCTTGAGGAAAATTACACAAATCAGCATGGTAAATGGTTAATTTTGTCTCTGGTGGAATACTCTTGTGCTACTGTGATTTTTTCTGTATTTCCAGAATTCAGGTTTACTTCTGTGTCAGCTTCTACCAGCGCCACAATTCAGACTTTAGTATATATCCTATTTAGTACAAGTCTCCTGGTACTCAATAAGCAGAAATCGTTGTTCCAATACCTAATCCTTAGTGCCCACAATGTTTTTCCTCTCATGTCTGCTTAGTTGTAAACATTATATAAAAATAAATATATTGCCTGCTTTCCCTATATCTGCCCTAAAATCATACTTTAGCAGCTTCTGAAAGATGTTATTTAAAGAAATAACTCCTTTACACACTGTATTACCTGCCAAGCTAATGTATACAAAATATTATGAAAGCAGAATAACATTGTTTCAAATACAATGAGGCATGTATAAGAATAATAAAAATACAACCTGCAATTTTATGAATCATGAGGAAAAAAATATGAGGGGAAAATCAATTTCCTATTTCAGCAGCTTCTAAGAATACCGAGGTCTGGAAGTAAACTTTTCCCACAAGCTTCTTATTGTTATTAACTATGCACCACAGAAGGGTATGTAACTTCCTCTAAAGCCTCTAGTATTGACTTCTAGAGGTAGAACAAAGTTAGAGTGGTATAATACAGGATGTCTTCTTTAATATTTTAATATTTAATACAACAACTGTTTTTATAGCCTTTGCTTTTTCAGCAATGAAGGATATTTTTGTCTTAAAGTAATCATGAGGGACATATAGTTGCTGTTGATTTCCATTTAAAGAAAAAATTATAGCACAGAAAAGTAAAAGAAAATTCCATGTGCTAGCTCTCCTGAACGTGGCTTAATGTCTACTTAATGACATTTTTCTCATGTGTGGCTTCATTGCCTGCTTGTGCCAGTTGACAGGTTTAAAAAATCAAAGTCACTGTATACTGCACAAAACATGAGATTTCAGTCAGCATTTGACATATGTGTTTCAGTTCATGATTCCAGAAGAATTTTTGTAGAACCCAGATAGACAAATTGTACTTACTCATTTTTCTCTCTCTAGATAATATAAGAACTCAATTAAGGGGAATTGAAGCAGTGGTAGTAAAAGAGTGAAGACTCATATGTTTAAGAGAGTTATGGTTCTCATATGACTTTAAAACTACACAGTTTTAAGAATGAATTTTGATTTAATACATATATACAAGTACTCAGTGTCTAGTTCCACAAGTTCATTGATAGAATAAATAACTCATTTTCAAGTACTGAAACTACACTTTGGCAGAAGAGTAAATTAACTGTTTATTTCTGGAGACATTTTGTTTGATATGTGCAATAAATAAATCACCATATTCATAAAATAATTCCATTTATAATTTTCCTCTTTAATACATTCCAATAATACTGAAGTTAAAATTTTAATTAAAAATATAAAAGATGTAGAGTGAGGCCCAATAATATGGTGTAGGTGAAATGGAAAAACAAAGATAGTAAATACTTCCTTAGGTAGTTATATTCTATTCAGCTCCTTCACATGAGAACCCATTTTCTCCACACCAGTCCTACTTCTGACTCATATTTCAGTCAAGCATAGAGGGAGCAGGAAAATCAGCAGATTAAATTAAAATCTGGTTATACATACAATACATAAAGTCATATTTTTGTGGTACATACAATCACAACACTTACGATAAGGTCTGCTCACAGTGTTATTCTCATCTCTAAAAGGTAACACCTTTCAAAGCCCACAGTATAGAAACACAGGAAAATAATTTTGCTATAGGTGTCAAAAGAAACATCTAAACACAACATTATACCAAGTCCCTCCCATGCATTAATAAACATTCCTGTGCCTTGCATAGTAAAAACTACAAATGTAAAAACCCAAAAAATCATGGAGCACATCTAAAGAGTTTTAAAGTATTTTAAGCCATTTTCACAGTTTTGGGGGTTCTCTGTCAATTCTATTTTCGTTAACAGGGTTTTTCATTTTGAAATGGGCTTTGCTAAAGTTCTTCCTCTATTTTCCCGCACTGAAATGTATATTCTAAAAAGTAATTATAACAAGGGTATTAGTCACATTTTCTTCAAAACCAATAATATTTAATAAATTTGACAATTTCTTTGCCTTCAGATATTAAATATCTCATTTTACAGCAGCTTTGCCAATACTGGGAGCAAGGAACTAGACCCTGGAAATAAAAGTCCAAAACAGACTTCTCTTCCTCAGCCCGCTTTTATAGGTCAGAAGTCTCGTGTTTTCCACTTACGATCTGACCTCAATTAATGAAGTCTTTCAGAGGACACTAAATTATTTTTGCATAATAGAAGTTTAAATTGAAAATATCTTGATTATTTTAATTAACACAGTCTATATGACGTGACCCTGTTCCAGATAGCAGGAAATTTTGGACAGTATATTTAAGGTTATATTACTACACAGAGATTCAGCTTCTTGGAAAACTGCCACAGCTGGGGTGAAAGCTTTTGTTGGTGTATAAAATACCTTTCCAAGTGCTAATTGTAACAAGTAACTAACGCTGCATCTTCCAGTTTTCAATAGATCAAGAAAACTCTTTGTTGAACTATGTGAAAGCCATGAACAAGTTTCAATAGGGCTCATTCCATCTGTCACTCAATAACATCTTTTTTACTTCTCTTTGAGTTTTTAAATCATGGAACTATTGTTCCTTTCAATGGATAATTACACTGCCTATTTCATTTGCTTTAACTTAGCCTTCTTAAATTTTAATAATCAAGAACACTGTGTATTGTTTTGCTGCACATTTCCAAAAATTTTATTATAGACACACAAGAAACTTTTACTGAAGAAAAAACCTGCCACTCATCTATTACTTTCTAAAAGGATGTTGGATATTTCAGTTTAGTATATTTTGTCGCTTTTCAAAACAAAACTCCCTTGCCTTAGAATGATAATCTTGTTCCAGCCTGGAATCTGATCCTGCTACCTGTTTGTACTTGCTCATTTTCATTTGGCGATTCCTTTCTTCTACATCCATTGCACCTGTTAAGTTAAAAAAAAAAAAAAAGAAAATAAATACACAAGCAGTCCTCAATTCCAAGGTTAAAATTATATTTATGGAAGTTTTAACAAAAAGAGATGAAATTTGATTTACTTAAATTCTATGTATATAATTTTAATTTCTGAAGTACAATGTTGCAGAAAACTAAAAAGTTGTAACAGGAGGAAAATATCAGATAAGTATTTCAGCAGTCTTAATAAATGTTGTATTATCTACACAATTCAAATGAAAACAACTTTGTGGAAAACTAAATATAAATGGAACACAATGCTTCCACAGAATATAACTTTATTATTTCAAAAATAATTAAGAGAAATTGAGTCTTTCATTTAATAAAAAGGAATGCAAAGACAACTTGCTTATTTGGGTGCAGATCCTGGTTCTGCATTTACTATAATGTGACATACCAAATTACTAGTCAAGTGACCACCACAGACTAGCAGACCTTCTGTTTACTATTAGAGCATATTCTTGGTATGCTCAAAACTATTTAAAGATGTCTAAAAGAATCTTAAAGAGCCACCCAGTGGCATCATTGTATTATGTTCTAATGACACACAATTTCAAGAATGATTTCAGGATTCATTCTTGGATCAAATATGTGATTAGTTTCAGTCAGAGATGGGTTCTTACTACATGACTCAGGCAGCAGCTGGTTTCAACCAGCTGGTACAGTAACACCACAGTTTACTTTGTAAAATAAGGAGGTGCCAAAGCTGAGGTGGAAAACTGAGAAGCAGAAAAAAAAGAGGAAGGCAACCACTCAGAAAAGATTTTCAAACAAAATATAGGTAGCGATTATACACACACAGGTTTGATTCTTCTCCATTTTAACATGGTATAAATCACGAATAGTTCATTTTGCACTGAATGCTAAAACATGCTCATTTTGACTGACATTGCCTTAAACTTTTCATAATTTTAACACAAAACTTATTTAGGATTAAAATTTTAGAATCCCACTAGTCATAAATGGAAGTTTCTGTATATTATATGCATTGAACAATCTGGACTGTATATATGGAACTGAGATGGGAATATGATATTTCAGTGTACTAAATAAAACTGATTTAAACTCTAAGCCTCGGTTGCAAGTCACAATCTAATAGTAAAGTGGGGCTCTGCACAGGACCTATGCAGGGCCTCTGAGCTTTGTGATGTCTTTCTTGAGAACAATAAAAGGTAGTAGCAAATACTATGAGATCTGCCAGGTAAATGTTGGGGCACTTCATAGGAAAAGGAGAGAAGGTGAAAGAAAGTGGGAATGCAAAAAGACTAAATTGTACTGTTCCCTATAAACCCTCTGGCTTCTGATTTTTGTATTCTAACTCCACATCCTTATTCCCCACAACAACATGAATGAAAAGATTCTAAGAGAAATTAAAATAAAGAAAAATTAATTAGAAAGAAGAAGTGGTATTTTATAGGGAGAAATAAAATAGAAAGGAGAGCAGCAAATGAAAATTCCTCAAATAAAACACATCTAGTTTTTCCTACCACAATTTTCCTCAACTATTATACGCCCCATAGCAGCATTTGTCAAATTATTGTAAAGATGAAGTGACTTTTTTAGTATATCGTTTTAAAAGCTCTAAAGATATATTTTTTCTCTTGAAAAAAAAAACTTTACACTGGAAAATGATATTTTCTTTTTTCAATAACAGAAGTAACATATAAGGTGTTACGTCTGCTCAAAGAAAGAAGTCATCTTTTGCTTTTTTTGTTATTTTGTCATAACATTCTGCAAATCCACTTGGCATTTTTCAGTAATGTAAAGAAAGGAGATATTTTTTGCAAAATAGAAATATTGTCAATTTTTCTTCTGTTTTCTTATGAAATCATTGCATGCATTCTTTTTCGCCAAACATCCTGCTAAATTTCAGGAAATTACAAGAAGTGATGAAATAGCACTTCTTGATCGTAAATTAGAAATTTCACAATTACTTGAGAAAATATCCATTCTTATCTATGTTCAGCTGGCAAAGTGAAAGCTAGATTTTCAGAAATCCAATTGCCTACAATATGCAAAACCCAGCACTCTGAAATATACCATTCAAAAGAGGAGCATAACACGTAAGAACTTGGTGAGACCTCTGCAGCAAAACAAGCAAAATTTGTGGTTTATTTTTGTCTAGGAGAAAAACAAGACAGAAGAATTTTGAAAAAACATTGTTCTATTCCCATAAAATCTTATTAAAGGAAAATCTAACTTGCTTTGCATTTTTGAAACTGTCTTTTAACAAGTGAGTGGATTCAGTTATATGCAAAAAAGAGGAAAACCTGAGGGCAGTGGAAAGTTCATAATGCAGAAGATCAGCTCTGGAACTGCCATGCAGAAAGTGTGCAGGGTTCCTGGCTGCCAGGGGCTGATCTCACCGTAACTTAAGCCAGATGGCAGTAGGAAAGGTTGAGAGAATGTCATGGCCCTTCCCATTCACGTGGTCCATGTTGCACTAAATGGTGCAAATGCAGGGCTGTCATCATCTCCACTTCTGCTGGCAAATCTATACCTGCTGAAACCTATGTGAGGGTATCTAGCAGAAGCAGAAAATTCTTCTAGAGTTCAGTAACTCCCTGTGTACATTCAGCTTTTAACATGAGTTTAGTAACCAAGACTGAACATCAGTCCTATCCTAAGGACTTCACTGTAATCAGGAGCTGTTTATAGAGCATATGTAGATAAACCAGAACTAGCCTGAATCTAACCATTAGGTATCCACGGTGGCAAAAATGTAGGAGCATAAGTTTTCACATGTCTGAATAACACGAGGGCTGACTGAGCCCTTGTGTTATTCAGATCCTTAGCTAGAGCCCAGCACAACATTTTCAGGACTACAGAATCTGACACTAGAAAAAGTAAAGCTACTTCTGATATATTGATCTACTGCCATGATGTACCAAAGTATAAATTTTGGCCAGGCAAAATGAGTTCATTTGTACATTTCTACCTTAACTTCCTTCTGGAATTTTGCTTCTAAACAGTAGCTGTACCTCCAACAGAAATATCCAATGAGACACTCAAATGTCAGCCATAGGAACACAAAAAATAGAAAAGACTGAATGGAAGAAAACAGCCTGGTGTTGCTCACCAAACATAACTGGGATAATTGCACTGTAGGCAATATGTTGGAGTTTTGCTTATTTTGAATAACTCCAACATTAGAGAGCCATGGCCTGAAGGTTGGTACAGTGGAGTTTTCATGGGCACAGGGAAATTCCTGGCTGACAGAGCTAGCTGCTGATTCATTATTAGCCATTCTCCGTCTTTTCAGAAAAGAGTGTGCTGAGGGAAAGCAGCACCACTACAGTGTAAAGACTGTCCTGAAATGCCAGAGTAAGACACCCAAATATTGTGCACAGCAGCCCTGTAACCTGCCCTCAGATCCACAAGAACTGTAGTTAGAGACTAAGTTGTGCCAGAGCTTAGCTCTAGTGACCACTGTAAATTAAACCTTAGGCCATATGAATTGTACTTTGACCTTTGTTTTTATCTATGGAAATGTAACCAGTAGACAAAGGATTACAATTACAACTTTAGCTACAGGATATCCTATAACAAAAGATAGGGAAATGTCTCAAGACACAGACAAAAAGGGTGCCTGCAGGTACTGGAATCACTGCTCCACCTTCAAATAAAAACCATTATTTTCATGTTTAACTTGAAAATAAGATAAGATTCAGCTACTTCACCATTAAAGCTTTCCTCGTAACTGAAAACTGAATATTTGGGGGCTATAATCAGTAATTTGGTTCATACCTAACTTTTTCTGACCTCAGCTGCTCAGGGATCACAGTTTTACAAGGAGATAAGCAATCTCTCAATTCAGCCTGGAGCTAAAGACTGTTATTTGCTCTTCAGGTAAGACATTGGCTACTCTCTAGGGTAGGTAAGACCCTTCAGTTGATAGCCTGTGATCCATAGCAGAGACAAAAGGGACAACAAACCGGCCTTATTCCCCAGCTTAGCTGAAGGCAAACCTATGTATTTAAAAAATAAAAATGAAAACAGCTGGGACCTCTGTTCTTCCATTCTTTCTTTCATTGCCTTCTGGTGGGAGTTATCAAAGCATTCTGGTTCCTATAGATGCTGATGATAGTGATGTGTTTGGAGGAGTTTGCTGTACAGTGAGGCTTCTGGGGCACAGAGGGTAAAAGGGAAACTGGTGTATGGAAGTAGAGTGTATTAGGATAGATTGAGTTTTGGAGACATATAGACAAAAGGGATACAAAATTTGGGAGGCATAGCCACTCAGGCATGAGAAAAAACTAGCAATGAAGGGACAAAATAAAGACTGAGATTCTGGAAATCAGAAACCTGTAACAGAGAAGAAAAAGGAGGTGTGAGCTGAGCACACCATGTCTGGAGAGGGAAGAACAGAACAGAAGTCTTAAAGTGTATGACAGCCTTCTTCAGCTGGTTCTGGTTTCTTCTTCCCATTTCTCACCCTAATTTGACTCCACTAAAAAAGCAAAGGAAATACATTTGGGAAAATTTGGGAAAATTTCAAAATTTGTCTATTTTGAAATCCCAAAAATATATCAAAATTGTGATCCAACTCTATTCTACACATTTGTTTAAACATAATAGATCAAAGAACTTAAGGGCAAAACCACAAAAAATACTTTGAATAAGTCACCCTACCTGTATCCCCATTCTCTGGATCTGCTTTCTTTTCTTCTATAAACAAATGAAAGCAATATGTAAAACAAAAAGAGGGGGAGAGAGAAAATGCAGAAATAATAATAAAAGTAATATAAATCATGCATTAAAAAAAGAAAAATAATAAAACCCATCAAATTAATTTAACTTAATGAGTTTAGTCAACCAACCAAGTATGGTGCTCTACATCCAGAGGCATATTCACTGCATGCTAGTGTATACATTTGTGCACTCTTATTGAACATTTACTGAAGGGAACCCATGGATACTTTGTGCACTTCCAGAACCATTAACACACTCAACAATGAGGGAGCTAGGAAGGTATTAGATATAGCTACTTTACAGTTTCCTTAATTGGGATGACACAAAAATAGACATAGAAAATTTGCTTGTGCTGTATGTTTTATACAGTGCACGCACGAGATACAGTCTAATGGTTCAGGCATAAAAATTGAATGTATCAGAATGGCTTTCAGTAATTATTTAAAGCTTCATTGGTTTAATCAATTTTCATAGCCTCTACAGGTTAAAAGGTTTAATAATGACATTACCACAGCTTGTCTTAGAGTTAAAAATTATGAAGACCAAAACACACTAACATCAATATTCAGAACTCAGTTCATGCACTTAAATTCAGCTGACTGATGCCAACAAATACTCTGAATGCATATCAAAGGTTGTAAATCGCTCAGGGCATTCCTCTGTCACAAAGAAATGAAAATACATTGGATCCCTATCAAATAATTTGGCAGCTCATAAATAATCTGAAATCCAAGTTTGGTAATTAATGCAAAAGAATTTTAAGCCAAATGAAATTTACTTTAATTAGAAATACATTAACTTTTAGATAGACTCTGGATTTTTTTCAAAATTATATTAAATTCAATTAAAACAGCCCCATAAATATGGAGCAACAGCCTCCAAGCTACACACCAAAAATAGCATGCATTATTAGAACTAAATATTTTTCCAGAACTATTGGTCATGGAGGATAACTGACAAAATTATGATCTATTTTACAGCACACAGACTGAAGAGAGAAATAGATGTCATATTTTAAGGAAATACCATTTCGTAAATGAGTATTGAAGCAGAGGATGAAGTCATCCTCAGAGAGAAATCATATCGGAGCAAGGGAGAAATGTAAGAAAGAAAAATGTACTCCTGCAGAGAGCATAAATAATGGGCCACACTTTGACAGGATCTTGCTTCCCATTATGCATGGGATCAAGGTTATTGTTCTGCTGGCAATTTCTAGTGAAACTATTAGAAAAATTAATGGGAAAGAGATATGGGAAGTCATGAACCTACACTTTCGGAAATCAGTGCCGATACTACCCTATGTGAATTGTGGAAAATGCTAGGAAAACAGCAGAAAGAGAGTAATACTTATGTTTGCTTTTCAACCATTCAATTTTTTAAATTTTTTTTTAGTTTATCTCATCAATATAAAATCCACAAATACATCTTCTACTGCCTCATTACTTTTTAAAGAGAAAGCAATTTGATAGCAAAACCATTGATCCAACACAATTCACAATAGGTGAAAGTGAAGTAAGTCATTAAAAAACCCTTGAACTCAGAGAGAATGATGTTATTCCATATGCATAGTGAAATCTTTATTTTGCCTAAATATTATCTTAATACAGAAATCTTATACTATATAGGATAATTATTTTTAAGATGCCTAAAAATCCATTCATCCTTATGTCTGGATGTCTTTGAAACATGAGTCTTTTAATAAATGCATTGTTAAAATAAAGAAGGCTGAACCGTGTCCAAATTTCAGTCATTATTAATCTATGTTTAAAAAGTATATAGAAAAATACTTCCAAATGGAATTGTAGAAATGAATATCATAGTACTAGCAAACATAAAATTTTATTAGATGCGTGAATTTTAAAAGTAATTGAAGTGATGTGACAAATCTCTACAATAAATAAATTCTTTAAATTTTTAAAAGAGAGGTCAGCAGAGTGGATCCTACTCTCCAAACTGAGGCTTCAGTTGTATTGTGAAGAGTTGTCTGAAGAAGTACTAGAAAGAAGATTGAATTGAGAAGGATCTCACTTGGATAGGAAGCGGCAGAACTGAACAATATCTGTTTTGTCTATTGACCAAATAAAATACCAACTTCTCAACAGCAAAGATCACTGCAGCTATGGACCTAGTCATCACTTCTTAAAAGAATTCAGAGCAGGTTCAGGATGTTGATCCTAAAGTAATTAATGCTTTTGGTTATTATGTGTTCCAAACAAAAAAAGCTCTAAACAGCCTTAATGTCTTGTAACTGCTGAAAACCAACAAATCATTATGCGTTTATTTTAAAATGTGTCAAACTGAATAACAAAGTCACCGGTCATTTCTAAAAAATCTCGTTCTGTTTTCATTTAATGATGCCTTCAGTATCATCACATTAGTCAATATTTTTCTACATTACTTAATTTAACTTTGGTTTACAAAATGAAAAGCATGTACTGTATCCTGTGGTGTAATGATCTCAATTTAAGAACTAAAGTTTTTCAGAGCTAAACAATTTGGAGAAAAAAAAAATCAATGCTTTCATGAAGGAGACATTTCTGTACATCACAGAAAATAACTATATGTTTTCAGTTTAATCAGAATACAGATAAATATAGAGATGAACTCTAGAGACAGAGAGATTGAAATGCTGAAAGATCCTCTCTCAAAACCTTCTTCCACCATCATAGTAGACATTGCTATTATAATGACCACTGACATTTTATAAAATAGTAGGGACAGGCAAGTTCCCATGCCCTTGAAATGGTCTATTCTTTCTAACTGGTCCTAATATATCTGATAGATATCTAACAATGTAACATGTATCTGGAAGATTTAATGAATAGAAAGAACTCTGGCTAATCAAGAACCTCATTCAAGAGCTGACTTAGCAAGAACTAAACTTGATCTAAAATGTCTTTGATAAGCTATATTTTCTTGGAAATGCCTTAATTAGCTCTGATGTTTTGATCATCAGACTTAATTCGCTTCACTCCAGGAACTCCCACAAAGCAGGGACTCCAAGTGCCTTGGAACAGAGCATGCCCATTTCTGTACATGACCAAACAGAGTAACAGTTCCACAGAAGAAGCAGGATAGAAAATGGCAGCACTGAGCAATTTCTCAAAAATTGCTGACTTCCTGGTGAGGATGAGGAGGAGCCTGACTCTGCAGCCCTAAGGTTACAGCTGGAAGGTGCTGAGCTTTACAGTCTTCCTCCCAGAATTTCTTCCTTCTCTCACAGCTGACTGCCCCAAACTTAGAGCTTGGTTCTCTCTTGAACTGTCTCTCTTCTCTCACCTGGGATCCAGATGAATGAGATTTGCATCAGTTGAACTGAGGCCTAAAATATATATTGACTTCCTTGCTTTTAATGAAAGAAATTGCAGCCTCCAGCGGCGGAAGATGTGCATCTCATTACAACAGTCAGATTTGCTTCTGAGTTTATGCAGAAGATAAGACAATGACTTAAATGGTTACATCTTTCTATTTTTCATACTTGCAAAAACTTAAAATCAGCAATATGACTAGGAAGTATATTTATAGAGTGGATAAATTAGCTTCTTAAGTGTTTTGTTGAAAAGCGAGTCTAATTTTTCAGGGTGGTGAAAATTGTTAAATAAAATTTTATTTTAAAAATCAAATATACGCATAGGACCCCAACTTCTGGTAAATGCTTTTAAAAATGCTAGTCATATTTCTCACTAGAGATTTCTCTTGAAATATTATTCATGAGAATATAGAAAAATTAATTTTATACTGAAAAAAAAAAGAATTCCGGAAACAATATCACAGAATATTCTGAGCTGGAGGGGACACACAAGGATCATCAAAACCCTGGCCCTGCCCAGGACAGCCCCAAGAGTCACACCATGTGCCTGAGAGCACTGCTCAAACTTTTCTGTCAGGCTTGGTGCCGTGACCACTTCCCTGGGGAGCCTGTTCCAGTGCCCAAACATCATCTGGGGAAGAACGTTTTTTTAATGTCCAACCTAAACCTCCTCAACACAATTTCAGGCCATTCCCTCGGGTTCTGTCACTGATCACCACAGAGAAGAGATCAGTGCTGGCCTCTCCTCTTCCACTCACAAGGAATTTGTAACTACAATGAGGTCTCCCCTCAGTCTCCTTCAGGTTGAACAGATCAAGTGACCTCAGTCATTCCTTCTATGGCTTCCCTTCTAGTCCCTTCACCATCTTTGTAGCCCCATTATCAAATCAGGCAAAGGAAAGAAGATTGTCTCCTAAAAGCAAAATGCAAAAAGTGTGGAAGTATTTGCTTTGAACATCAAAACTGGCTAGTTAATGATCTTGTACTCAAAGGATTACATTTCCTCCTGTTTCATGAGCTATTCAATTCCAATTCTACCTCTAAGGAATAAGCTCTAAATTTGGTCATTCTGGCTGTCAACAGTGTGAAAAATAGAACTGCCTAACTGCTAGGTTAGGCAAAATATCAGGTGATGTGTGTGATACAAATAGTTATTGAACTTCACTCCAGGGCTTTATGCCCAATGTATGGCAAACAGAAAAAAGTTACTGTTGCAGCAAGCAAGGCCTTTCCAAGTCTGTGATCCACATCACAGTCTGAATGAAAAGAATATGATTGACACCCACAGAAACATGGACCAAGAAAAAAATAATTAAAGGTTGTTGAAGTGTTTTTGTATTATTGTTTAAATGTGACTGAAGTGTCAATTAGTGTCCTTAAAAGGGCATGCTCAAAGGAAGATCATTTCAGTTAGCCAGCTTCCCAGTGGGGAGCATGCCTTCACATTCATGTTTTCCATTTGAGAATGACTTGATGGGTTTTTTGTTTTGGCTTTTTTTCTTGTTGGTTTCAAGCTTGACACACTAAACAAAGACTGAAACCCGGGGGGACATTTCTCACCACTTAAACAAATTTTTATCACAATGCTCAAAGCATGTTAAGAATGTAACTTTGGATTATTTGCAGAATACATGGCACTGTTTAGTAAAAGAATTGAATAAGATGG